GGAAACTGATTACACGTACATGTACTATGTAAATACACTTACTTTCATCAAAATTTTATACTACTAAATAAATAATATAAAACGTGGATGAATCAGCTAAGGGTTTTATCATTAAGGATATTAAAGTCAAACCTGACATAGACAACAAGCTAGAGCCAGATAGACATAGTGCTGATTAAGATGGATGTGTCAGAATACATCTTTGGTGTGACTTACATGGTTCAGATAAATATGGAAAGATGTCTCATGCAGTAAGTAGATGAACCACACATCTAGAGATATTGCCCAAAACAATTGATAGGATGGTAGGCAAAATACAGTACTAAGAAGCAAGTGCATTGGGGCAGCGACATAGGACTAATGGATGGCTTGAAGGTCAAAAATAGCAAGCTAGGTGGTGCCATAGTTATACTAATTAACTATTGGACTAAGAATGTATTTAGGTCTGTTCTAAATTATATTTGAAGCTGCTGGTTTCCTAGCATATAACAAATTTTCACCGAAGAAGATAATGCAAAAAGTGTAGTAAGTCTAATATATAGCCAGCGATGGAGTTGACAATTCAAGCAACATGTTTCATCACAGGTTTCTGGATATCTATAGACCAAGTGAATGGAAATCTATCATAACTAAGCAACTGAATCAGGACACCAGAATTGCAACAAAAAAAGAAGATATGAACAGCAGAGGGTACTGCACCACACCGACCTGATTAGCTAGACAAACCCCACATTCATTTTGCAGCACCACATCTTGCTGGATGCTGGCCCCCTCCTGACCAATAACCCATGTTATGGTCTTATTAAAACCATACAAGAAGGAAATCAAGGTGGCAAATGCAAACAACCCATGTGATGGTCTTACTAAATCCATATGAAAAGGAAATCAAGGTGGAAAATGTGAACACTGGAATCTGCAGTAACAATGCCATAGGCTAATATGCCTACACTATCTGTCCCAATAATAAATCATATGGGTCTACATATTTCCAAGAAACCATCATCAGCTCATTCGGGCAAGTTGTCATCTAGGAGAACGCTGCTGCTTACGGAGTAGCAATCCTCATGGCTCCGGTCATGCAAACATAAAAGGAATTTCAAACAAGAATAGTAGCATAAGTACGCTCATGAATAAATGAAAAGGAATTCGTGAAATAAATAAATGAAAAGGGTCCGACATGGACGGACTTGCTCCAAAGCTCCTGTCTGTCTTGTGTTCCCTACAACCAACATGAGATATATAGCTCCTCGCCATTGCGCACGGCGAGCTGGATGTGGCGATGCATGATATGGGTCTTCTTGTTGTCCCTGGCACTGGCAGCGTTGCCAGCCAGCTCCAGGGCCTGCATCAATGGGGAGGAACGACAAGAATAGCACAAATATTCAGGCATTGCTACTAATTGGTTGAAAAAAGATCTAAGAATAACCAGGTCGAGGAATAGAAATCTCAAAGAATAAGGGCAAGGATGAGATCTGGTAGAAACGCACATCAGCGGCGAGGTACTTGGGGAACGGCGGCGAGGTAGATGGGGGCACCAGCGCCTAAGCGGCTCGGCGTACTTGCCGGCCTTGAGGAATCTGGCGATCCTGCCAACGTGGAACTGTAGCCCGACCTTGGAGCTACTCGATGTTTCCTTCTTGGCCACCGGCGTCGACCGCCTTCCCACAACAGACCATCTCAGCAACCAACCATCTTGACAAAGCCGCTACTGGAAGACAGAACACTGTTCGCCGCCACACACATTAACAATCATAAAAAACGCATCTTTGACACCATCTATGCACACATTAAAATCAACAATCTTACATTACAATTACCACACATTAGCGGATTGTATAGTCAATACCAACTGGTATAACTGTAGAATTAGCAAATATTCACAGCAGCAGCAATTCAGTCTTACCAGCAACAATCCACAAGGCATACAAAAGCTTACCGAGGTAGAGCGACGACGTCCAGATGCGAGGTCGAGATAGGGTGAAGCAGCGGGGTCAGGGTCGATAGGGAGGGCGTACGGCATTGTTGTAGGGGCGACGGGGTAGGGGTCGAGCGGCTGCTTCCGGTGACTCAGTCAAGGTACGGGCGACGGGGTCGATGGACGGTGTCCGGCGGCGCTGTCAAGGTCGAAGCGAGTGGATCGGGCGCCGGCTTCGTGGTTGGGGTGCGGCGATGGCTTTCGGCTTCGCGGTAAAGGAGGGCCGGGACTAGTGAGCGGATGCGCGGTATGTCCAGAAGGCGGTGGGAGGGGGCAGAGGAGGGTGGCCGGCGGCGGTGCGATGCCGTCTGCTTGAGAAACCCTACGAGAAGGGGGGTGCGGAGGCGACAGGAGAGAGTCGGGCTGGACTGGGCTCTCGGGTTGTATGTGCGACCGATCGGATGGGTTAATTGGGCTGCCAGAAAAGGCCCAGCTTACCAAAGGCGTCCGTTTCAGCCTGTGGAGTAGCAGCCCACAGGACAGCTGGGCCAGATTAGCCACCCTGCGAGACAGATCGCTTTTCACATTAAATCTGATGGCCAGAAACTAACAGATCACGAAAACGGACGGCCAAAAACGTAAATCGCTGTGAGGGTAGGGATTAGGTGCGATTATACTGTCTTTAATATAGACGCGTTTCAATAGGGAGTAGGGAAACATTTTTGGGGGAATTAAGCCTTAAGGAAAATTTCAAACTTCAAAACTCGCACCAGTCGTTCCATCCATATACAGAGAATATAAGCGGATGAGACCATCGAAATCCTCTCCAAATTAATCAGAGGCATCATGTTTGCATGATAGCTCTGGCTTTGCATCCTCGTCGTAATCATGTTATGGAGGAGAGGCGCTGTATGAGCACGTCGAACACACTGTCCCTGTCCAGCATGTTGACCCTGACGCACCTGGCGTCTCCCCCGAACTGCTCCCCGCCCCGCGCCACGATGCTGTGGCCGCGCAGGAACTCGGCGCATTCCTCCACGCCAGCCTTCTCGCAGCGCAGCCACGCGAACGCTGCATCCGATTGCGAGCCCGGTGAGAAGAACTCGGAGCAAATTTGAGTCATGGCGGAATTTGTGTTCATGATTAAGAATGTTGTTGCATGTTTAATGTGCAGTACCGGGGTAAGCTGCCACGGTTTGCTTGGTGAAGTTGCAGTAGCCGGCGGTCTCCTCCGGGAGGCTGAAGGCGCCGGTGGCCGCCACGGAGGCGCGCAGGACCCGCCAGCGCTCCCCCATGCGCCGCCGCGCGAAGTCGAAGAGGCGGAGCCGCGTGTCGTCCTCGCCGGGGCCGTAGGCGTCGGAGACCACCGCGAGGATCTTGGCGGCGCGGACCTGCGAGTCCTTGGACACGCCGATGGTGCTCCGGTCCACGAAGTAGACCATCTTCTTGGCCACGTCGCGGTCCTTGACGAGCGCCCACCCGAGCCTGGCGCCGGCGTGGCCGGTGACCTTGGACATGGTGAAGAGCATGATGTCGTGGGCGGCGGCGCCGGTGATGGGCGTGTACTGGGGCCAGTAGTACACCAGGTCGTGGATCGCCTTGCTGGACTCGGAGCTCAGGACGGCCTCGCGGATGGCGCCGTCGGGGTTGTTGGGCGAGCAGACCAGCTCGATGTGGGCATCGCCGTCGAAGGCGTTGGCGTCGCCGGCCCACCGGTAGAAACCCGAGAGCAGGAGGTCCGTCTGCGGCGGGTACGACTAGCACGCCACGAGGTAGTACGTCCAAGATCATACCATGTCAGCCAATCACCCCACACCACGAATGTAACTGAATTTGCACTCGGATCGTTTGATCTTGATTACCGAATAGTAGGGCGCCGGCGAGACGACGCCGACGGGCCGTTGGGCGCCGGCGGGAGACAGGGCGTACATGGCCGCCTGGAAGAGCTGGGTGGCGCCGGTGCCGACCACGAGGTGGTAGCCGTCGTCAACCGCGGCGTTGCCGACGAGGCGGTGGACGCGGCGGACCTCGCGCTCGAACTCCGGGTCGAGGAACCAGCAGAGGCTCTGGGCATTGGAGAAGTAGCTCATCCCGGACCACCCCGGGATCGCCACCGCCGCCCGCTCCCCGACCTCCCTCCAGAACGCCTCGTACATGGTCGGGTCGCCGCTGCACGCACCCAGGACCGAAACCGGCTGTGAGGCGAAGCGCGTTGTGAGACTGAAAACACCTTACGTAATCGCGCACAAAATACGGAAAGCGCGAACACGCACAGCTCGAGGTTGATGACGGCGTCCGGTGCGATGGCCGGGGGAGCGCCGCCGTCCATTCCGGCCCTGGCGGCAGACACCTTGCTTCTCACGCCACGCGTGACTCCTATCTTGGGCTGCTGGTGACCGTGGCCGGTGGTTTTATGTCCGGCGGGGGCGCGGGCAGCGCATGCGACAGCCGGCACGAGCAGGCATGTCATGCGTGCGAGCAGAGAACGCACACGCGCGGACGGCGGGATGAGAAGAGGTGTTTTCTGGTGGTGGCTGATCCTCGGTGGGTGACCGCCGCGACAGCAGACTTTGGACCGATGCCGCCAGCAGCTCACGCAGACCAGCGGCCGGTTGCGGGGCGCCAAGCCATGTGAGTGAGTGGCTAGCACAGTGGCCTCGTTGCCTGCGAACCGCAACCGAATAGGTGTGGTCCTGGTGAGCCGAGAGCTACGTACCTCGGAGATGATAAGGAGGTGAAAGTGCACGGCTCATTGCTAGCGATCTAACGATTTGTCTCTGTCGCCAAAACTCCGTGACAAATGCGAACAGGGTTAGAGAGGTCACCGTCGTATAGATGCGTGAAAGATAAGGCAGCCATGAGCTAGTTTTGTTGAGTACTTTCTTTTTTGAAAACGGAGGCAAAAGATTTGCCTCGTCGACTAATTAAGCAGAAGTGAATTGCCCAATTAATCAACGGAAAATCGGGCGAAAACCAATATAAACCAACCACATGTGGATTACTCACGGAGCGTGCAACCCTACAAACATACCCAACACATAACGATCACCAACCCTCACACTGCTACATCGCAAAGAAACCCTCTACAAGAGTAACACGGTAGAAGACCACATGCACCACCAAATCCATGAAGACAAATCAGACCAAAAGGACAACTCAAGAGACCGGTGACCATTCATCAAGCAGCTGCAGACGACTTTCTTGTGGTGCCACTCTTCATTCTCTTGCTCCCGAGAGCCTCCTCCACAATCCCTTGCCAGATCAAGGGCTAGCCGCCTCCAAACATTTGAGCAAGCTGTGAATCTCTATCTAAAAGAGAATATCATTGACCTTGTCACACACAGAAACCTGCCCAACGGTCTCATGCGAGTGAGAGACTGTAACATCCAAACCTTCACGCTCCACAATGGCGAGTGGCTGGCTGGGCTCAGACGCCAACATACTGACCACCTCAACATTATCAGTCACAGATACCACTGACACGATGGACTCAAGTGCCTGTAGTTGCTCACATGACCTAGGTGAATCATGCCGCTCACCCGGGGTCACCGGCGAGACGACCTCCACATGCTCCATAGGCTGAGGCGAAGTAGGTCTCGCACATAGTTGTTGAAGCGCGGGCATAATCTGCAACACAGGGGCGACGACCACGGCGATGGCCTCACTTACAGCGGCAGACATCGACGACAAGTTGTCCCCAGCTCGAGGGGAGAAACAACCATAGAGCTCCTCATCCCGGTTCTCCACTGAGCCACCAACATCAACCTGACTAACAACATCAACTTGACTAGAAGGACGTGACGTAGGAGTGGACTGCAACACAGCCGACGCAAGAGAGAGCTTGTCCAGGGTCGCCTCCGCCCACTCCAGAAAGCTCCCAACACGCATCAGCAGCTTGGCCTGAGTTGCTAGAGTGGATTGCAGCAACACATCGGTTGGCAGTGCCGAGCCAACATCATGAGAAATGATCGATGCCCAGGACCCATGATGAAGTGCCTTGTAGGGAAGCGTGGATTTCATCGGACCCTCACAAGAAGCTGGAGCTCGACAATGCTTGGTGCTGAGGCGAGACAGTGGTGGTGCGCCAATGCATGCCAAAGAGCTAAGCGGACGCCAAGGATTGCAGCATCCGCGCGCCCAATGTCCGTTCTCCAAGCAGCGGGAGCATCGCAAAGGCTCTCTGCAAACTGCTGCGCGATGTCCAGGGCGAGGCATCGACAACATCAACCATGGAGCCAGGCGGGGATGAGACAAGGAGCAAATGCCGGTGTTGGTGACGCCTCACAACGCCGACCGCGCCGAGGTAATACCTCTTGCCATTCACCACTCGTCTCCTCCTCGTGCCCAACACATGGAACAGTCAGGTGAGCGGCCGGGACCGGGCTTTTGGAAGCCGGCGGCGTCATCGGAACCAACTCTTCTTCGTCATCCTTATTGTCCTCATTGGAAAGGGAGGCCCAGGACACAAGCCGACCCGAGTTCAAACCAACGGTCGTCATCATTGAAGAACTGGATGCATGCCGGAGAGGCGAGGCGAACTCCAGATGGAGTCGGGACGCTGCAGGGGACGAGTTGGAGTGAGGCTCTGCCGGGGCCGGTACCGGGGGTGGGCCCGAACGGGGTGCTACCGGTGAAGTCGGTGGTTGGCTGGAGGCGGCAGCAGCAAGTGGAGCCGGAGCGAAGGGCGCGGTTGAAGTCGTGGACGTCGTCGCCTCCTTGGTGAGGTGCGCGCGGGTCACCATCCTCCCATGAATGGCTGGGTCGGAGCGGTGGGAAGCAAGGGCGGCCGCGGCGAGGGCGGCGGGGGGTGCTGGAGCAGAGGGCAGCCAGGAGCAGGCGCACGGCATGGCAGGAGAGGCTGCCGCCAGCGCGACCGACATGGATGCGGGCCGAGGTTGAGGATGAGCAGCCACGGCGTCGACCCGCGAAGAGAAGCACGCGAGCGGAGAGAGGAGGTGGAGAGGATCCCAGTTCTGGACAGAGCAGATGTAGGGGAGGCTGGTGGTAGGAGATAAGGGCTGCGGCACCGCCGCCGCAAGCACATTCACGAGAGCGAGGTCGCTCGGGTTGGGTATTACGTTTAGTTAGAAAATATGAGATAGACTTGGATATATTCCGGCTTTTCTTGTACTCTAAATTGACCATGTACTCATACATATATATATATACTAGTAAAAGGCACGTACCAAGTACGTGTATAATCTAATAAAAGAATTAGTAAGCATTGAATTATTATTTGTCTTACTCCCTAATAATTTTTAGAAAATGAACTTGAATTAACGTCATCATTATGGCCATGGGGATACACAAATTGGCGATGCATCCAACTTTTCACAAAATTATCAAGAAAGACCTGTTTGCCGGCTCGTAAATAGTTCAAACCCCAAGAACATGTGTTTGTGTTGATCATCATCTAACAAGAAAAAGACTCCTTGGTCTATTTTGTTTACCCCATATGATTCCTTTCTTATGACTAAACTTGACACAATTGGTAATTGCAATAAGAAGATCAAGGAATCGCTGCCCAAATTATAATTTTTTACATGATCGCTGCCCACTTTTGGAGGCCAAATAAAAGACTGCCATTCTGGATAAATAACAATGGGCAGCTATTATCTTTTACTACTCTTCTCCCGCAAAAAGAAATGCTACTCTCCAGAAAAGATATGTAATATCTTATACTCCCTCCGTTCCCAAATACTTGTCTTTCTACGCATTTCAAATGAACTCAACATACGGATGTATGTAGACATATTTTAAAGTGTAGATTCACTCATTTTGCGCCGTATGTAGTCACTTGTTGAAATCTCTAGAAAGACAAGTATTTAGGAACGGAGGGAGTACATCTCAGTATCTCACATTCTTCATGCTCAGATGTCCCGAAACTACTAAACCACATGAGATAAGGCTTCAGTGTGTTTTACTGCCTTTCTCGCAGTAGGTTTCCATGTTTCCTGTGACCAATGGTGAAAGATTGGAGGGAAAAACTGTCATCTTCCATGTCTGAATCTAGTAGTACAGCCATTAGAAGTAAATGCCATCATACAGTGTTACTTCCATGTAATCAGGGGTGGCATGAATTTTGTTTTTCTGCTTGATCTAAATCAAAGTCTTCATTCATTTTATAACTGGAAACATATTGCCCCTCATTGGTCAGATGAGTATATATTAAAATTACCAATAGAAACACTGTATTTTTAGCATAGCGATCAAGAGAAAAATATTGGCTAAGGGCAGATTATGACGTTCGGTTATTACTCATCAAGTTTTTCAATATTCAGTATAGATAAATTGAACGATTGAATCATGTATGCTACATTTTGAAACACACAATATTTTAAGTAGGTGATTGTGAGATAAAATCCCACTGCTTTTCTTTCTTGGCATAGGACTGTTACCATCATACAAAATGCAACCAAGGTATAGAGTTGGATTCTTCTTTTATTAATGGCACATCATAAATAACTTGTCATTGAGGATAATTCTACTGGCATGCATGTTTTGTTATTGGCGTCTGTACTGGTGCCTTGCATCATTGCTGGTACTTGCACTATCATCTGGTGGTCCAGATTAATCACAGAAAATTCAATAATTTTTCTGGTCTGCCTCAAAGAACCGCAACATATGTTGGTTTGACAAAAACACAAACAGCTGGCGTGCAGGAATACCAAACATTACCAATGACCATAACCAGCGCCAATTTTTCAAAACTGAGGATTAATGTGATGATACCTGATAGATATTAGTAAAGAATCACCCGTGGAGTATCCGGATGCAGATAAAGAGAAGCAAACCCAGTACAGGGAATGACTCACTTGGACAAGCTAAGCTACTCTATGACAGAGGAAGCTCCGAAGTCATCGCGACGCCGCGTACGCCGGACATACAAAAGGAGGGACATGGCATAGAAATGCAGGGCGGAGGTGCGTTGAAGCTTGGGATGCGGAAGGGCGCACACAGGTTTTGCGGCGGCCGGCGAGACGGCGGCCGACATCTGGGTGCGAGGCGGCTAGTTCAGAAGTGGATTTCGGGAGCAAGAATATAGAAGATTGTTGTGTGAAGAGAGGCCGGAGGCGGGGGTGAGTCAGTTGCTGCATGCTGGGAGCGGAGGGGCCGAGGGGGACGCCGGCCTGAGCAGAGAAAGGGATGGCGCGTACGGCGGTACGGGAAGAGTTCAGTCCGGAAGAATCGAGAAGAGCGGACCTGACAGAGAAATAAGCATCCTGAACCGTTAGATGTATCCAAATCGACGGCCAACTTTCTTTGGATTCGCTCCTGCCTAGTCATCTATATATATATATATATATATATATATATATATATATATATATATATATATATATATATATATATATATATATATATATATATCCTCTTCTATACTCCCAAAAGTACACACTCCCACTCCCTAACGGGTCTTTGGGTTGGATATCCAGTAGCTAACAAACCAACCGATAAGAAAAGGAAGCG